GTCAAAGTGGGTTGGCTTAGTATAATATACCAAAACACAGTATGAAAGAAATGGGGGTGTTGTTAAAACTGGATAATGTTGGTTCGTACTGCAAACGATGGTCACCATCGAGGTAGCTGCGGGCTGAAGTTCTGCATGTTTTGAATAAAACGCTTTCCTGTTCTCGTTTGGCCTATATTACAAATATGCTCAAAACACTGAAAACAAACACAATAACACACATAAAACAGTAAGCGGTAAACGTGGTGTAAAACCTTACCTGTAGTAGCAGAGATAGAAAATTTATCAGATGTCGTATCCACATCAGCGAATATCATGAATGACGAAGTGAAGACGATAGTCATGTTCGACAGCAAGCTTAATTCGCCTTGTCTCGGGTTGCACAGTCTGTATGTAGCTCTTCTACCATGAATGCTTATATCATGCTTGCCAGCTTCACAATCGATTCTGATTAGCGGAAATGTCACATGTGTCTGTGTGCCTAGAGGTAGCACCAGACTATGGTTATATGTGTGGTACGACGTCGAATTCATGAGCCCATGAGAAAGCGTTAGTGTTGTAAACGGATGTAGATACAACGTCGTCCTGGTCCACGTTTCTAAGTAAAATCAGTTACAGGCGACTACGAAATTTACTGAAAAGTACTTGTTGAAATCTCGGTTGACTTTTCTACGGTTCTCGAGAGATACCGACAATGTGTCAAACTCGGTCTAGTAGTGGCAGGCGCATTTCTCGGATCATAGGTCACTCGAAACGAGACAGTTGCTTCATCAGCACTGTGTCTAGAATTAGCAAAATCCAATGTCTAAGATAGCACCGCCAAATGGAACCTTAAGACCGCTTGAAATATTTTGCCATTTTCATCTGTAATCGTTTTCCAAAATCGCAGCACATGGAATTTACGGCTTATAATACCGAAAGTTTAACAGGATCATAGAATCAATGATACAAGTGTTTCACTGACTTTTGAAAGAAGCTGTAATAAGCTTCCGAATCAGGGCATTACTGTGTAAACTTAGGAAGAAAGCTTCGTAGGAGTCGATTCAGATGAACTGAGATAGTGGTTCAGCGGAAACTCTTAAATGATACCTGTTCTGAGTAAAAAATCACAATGCTACTCAACTTTCCTCGATCGTTTCGGCTGGAGGGATGAAAAGTCTGCATTCACCGGCAATAACGCGCACAGCTGTTATGACACCGAATGGACTGTCGAGTAACAAGTTAGCAAGGAAACACGACCAGGAACAGAGATGGAAGGCCCGTCTGCTTGCGTTAGTGGCCTGTCGTCACCGAGCACAAATTGAATGAATAATGTACGTGGTCCGTTTGTTTCCACTCAGGAGCAACATGATGTGCAAAATCAAACAACACCTCTTCGTCAATTTACTAGGTCGTTTTGTCAAGTGAGTAACATGGAAGAGACATAAGTGGCGTGGTACCACACTATCTAAAATATTTGCTTGAAACTTGGGAGGTGCCAAATTCCAATTCGCTAGAGGATAATATATCTTATTCTCAAATTCGTTTACGCAAAGAATTCTCCACTCACTGCATCAAACCGCCGTTGCTCAGCCGGTACAGCAGCGAACCCAAGAACCTGATGGCTCTTGTGTTAAAGCGTGTTCGTTCCAAAGTTGCCAAAAGAGTACCCCCTCTGTGGCAGAGCAACAGTAGATTACAGCCTATATCTTAGAGTAGACTCGGACTTTCAAATAAGGTAATCAT